AGCGGCGGCGTCGTGGGCACTGCGGGGACGCGGGGCCGTGAGGCGGCGGCGCCGCGCGCGGCCCCGGCACCGGGCAGGCGACCCTACCTGCTCCCTCCATGGCATCGGCCGGCGGCCTCGCGGGACGGCGGCCTCGCGGGACGGATCCTGGCGGAGAGGCGGAGAGGCCGTCAAGGCGCCCGCCCGGCCTCCGGTGCCCCCGAAGGCGGCGGTGGCTCCGTGGCCGCTCCGGCCCCGCGGCCGCTCCGGTGACTCAGCGGCTCCGTGGAGACGCCGCTAGATGTCAGAGGAGCAGCCGCATCCCGGGAAGCGCCGGGGCAGCGGCGGCACCGCGTGCGAGCCAGGCGGGAAGGCCACCAGGCCCCRCGGGTGCCCCGGGTGCTCCAGCACCCACACGAGCTGCTCCGAGGCCACGGAGCCGCCCGGGAGCGCCCGGAAGGTGTCCGAGCTCCTGGCTCCTGCAGTGCTGCCCGCGCCCGCTTCCGTGGCCCGCTCGGTGCTGGCTCGGCCCCGGGCAGAATAAATGAAGGGAAAAGTAAAGGAAAAGAAGGAAAAGGTAACGATCTTCCTTGCTTTTGTCCTCTACATCACTTAGGAAGCTGCTCCAACACCGTCCTGCAGCCAAGGCCTTCCCGCTGCAGCGTCCGGCCTCAGTCCTGGCTCCCGCTCGTGGAGCGGRGCGGCCTCGTCCCGGCTGCCCCGACCCGCTGCCCCTTTTCGCTCCTGCTCTTTGTGCCCTGTGGATGCTGGCTCCTTTTCCCGCTTTGCCGGCAGCCCTTTCGCTTCCTGCCGCGATGCCTCTGCAAACTGGGCGCCCACAGCTTCACTCGTGCCTTTCCGCTCGCTCCATCCATGTATTTTTTCCCAGCCGTTTCCCCACGGCGCTGGCTTTTCCACCTTCCCATGTTGCCTTTTCCCTGTAGGTGACCCCGGCTCTCGGCGAGCCCAAACGTACCTGGCTCCGCGGCGCCTGCCGGCTCCGYGCGCTCCGGTCCCGTGCGCTGGGAAGGCGGCTCCCCTTCCTGCCTCACCTTTCCAGTTTGGCCCGACCGTAAAATCCAGGCGCTTCCTCCCCGTTAACCCCTTCCTGCCGGGAGCCCCGTGGCCGCTCCAAWGCTCCACAGCCGCCTCGGTGCCAATGCCATGGACGGGAGCAGCCACAGGCCCGAGGGATCCCCCATTGTGCCTCTTTTTCTTGCTTTCTGCCCTGCAACCCCCCTCCCACTTTGGGTCCCAGCCCAGGAATTTGGTATTTTTCCATCTGTATTTTTTTGGGGCAACGTCTTCTTTTATTTCAACGCGAGGCGGGTTGCACAGTTACACTCAAACGGGGTTATCTGCGTGTGGCTCCGTAAGCGCCTGCTTCCTGGTGGCTCCTGCTCTTCCAGAACATGGGCTCATGTGGAGCCGAGGGGCTCGGCCGTGTCCGGAGGGTCCACAGGCTCCTGGTCCCTGTCCGGCTCCGGCGCCTCGGCCAAGTCGCACTGCTGGGAAGGGAGAGCGGGTGAGGGCAAAGCTGGCACCAGGCGCTGCCTCGGCCTGAGGCCTAGGCTCCCGCCTAGGGCCTGGCTTATCTCCGAGCACCTCTGCTGCCCGGAGCACTCGCAGGGCGTCACTTCGGTCCTGCTCCCAGCTCCATCTCACCTGGGTTTCTGCCAGGTTCTGGGAGGGCTCCAGCTCCTCTCCGCTCTCTCCGGAGTCGCTGCTCTCCGGGACTGCGTCCCCTCCGTCGGGAAGCTCCGCAGCTGGAGCCGGAGTCGCTTCAGCGCTTTCCGCCACTGTGGCCAGCGCCTCGGACACGATCTGCACTGCCAGGGATGCAGCAACATCCTCGGGGCTTCCCGGCTCATCCAGCCCAGTTCCAGTGGGCTCCGAAGCCTCCGGCTCCGACGGGCCGTTGGAGAGGGCAGGGATGGAGGAGGCTGCCGGCAGCGGCTCCGCTTCCACAGGAGGCTCCGACGGCTCCAATTCAGGCTCGGGGGAGACGGACACATCCGGCACAGACTCCAGGACCGGTTCTGGCTCTGACGCGGACTCTGACTTCGGCACTGGCTCCGGGAAGATGCTGGCAGCCGGAGAGGGACTCACGGGCGAGGAGATGATCAGTGAGCGCCGGTTGCTGCGCGGGGAGGACGGGGTCGGGTTGGTGACACTGGCACCATGTGGGTGATTCCGCGTCTCCACTCCCGGCCACCTGGACACCCCCTGGCCGCCCTTTACCCGGGAACACCCTTGATGATGAAGACTTTGCTGGAATGCTGCTGCTCCAGCTTGCTCATCACCTCGTAGAGGTCACGGTTCAGCTGGAAAGTGGGAAAAAAACAGCATAAAACATTAAAAATTCCCTTTGAGCAGCCTCCGGCAGCAGAGCTGACCCAGGGAGCGAGTTTCTGCCCCGGCCGTGCGCATCCCTTGCTCCCAGTGCATTTTCCTTTCCCATTTCCAACCTTCAGCGTGACAGCGAGTCACGCTGGGCTGGGTGGGATTTGGTTAAAAACAAGCAGCTCATCCACTCCCGGAAAGCTGCCRGATGAGGAAATCCCATCTCCCCGCTTTCCTGCCACCAGCTTTTCCTGCCAGCGCCAGGGATCGACCCCACACTCCCGTGCTGGTCGCGGAGCCGCTGGCACGAGCACCTTGCTCATCTCCTTGTAGAAGACGTCGCGGAGGTTGGAGATGTTCTGGAAGACGCTCACGTAGCAGGCGACGCGGCTGCGGGACGGGGATGCGGGGCTGGGTGCCGAGCCGATGCTCCCGACTCATCCCAGCCGGCTCCGGCTCCGCGCACAAGGGGACACCATCCGGCCGGGGCCACGGTGGCCAGGGCCGGTACCTGCTGTAGAGCAGGGGCAGCTCCTCGCGCAGGTCCCTGTTGAGCTCCTCAAAGATGCTCTGGGCTCTCCCGAACTCCTCCTCTGCCTGCGGGTGGAAGGGGAGGCCGGGAGTGACCTGGAGACCCTGAGGACAGTGCGGGGACCACRGAGGTGGCACCGGGGCATTGGGGTGGTGTGTCCCCCATGCCCACCTTGGCGATCTTGGCCTCATCCTTCTTCTTGGCGCTTTGCAGAGCTTCCAGGTGGTGCCGGGCGCTGTCGTAGTCRACCAGCTTGCGGCCGCGCTTGGCCATGCGCTCCTGGTGGGAGAGCGGCTGCCGAGGGGCGGCCGCCAGCCCCGGCCGGCACAGAACCGGCCACCGGCCCAAATGGCCATTGGCCACTCTGGGACTTGTCACCAAGGAACCTGGCTCCGGCCACTGCAGGACCTGGCCACCCTGAGGCTACTGTGGAGCTACCGGGCAGCGCAGGGACCCAGCTGCTACAGGAGCCTGGTCACCGACCTGGTCCCTGCAGGACCTGACCCAGGGAATGGGCCACCGTGGGACCCAGTTGGCAGCYGCCACAGTGGCCTCAGCCTCGTTTGCCAACAGGGCTACCTTAATCTCCCCRAACTGAGCCAGGTAGTTCTCCATGAGCCGCAGCGCCTGGTCGTCCAGCTTGGCCTCGTAGTCGTCCCACAGCAGGTCGTTGCTCTGGGAAGGGAGGGAAAGAGCAGGATGGGAGGGTGCCGGGGGGCCCCGCGGGCTCCTTTCCCGCTGATCCCGGCGGGGGGACCCGGGTGTCACCTCGGCGATGGCTCTGAGCTCCTCGTGCCCGGCCCAGTCGGCGCTGTAGATCTCCTGCAGGGTTTCTGCCACCTTCCTGGAGCTCTCGTGCATCACTGTGGGGTGCAAGAACAGCGGGAAAAGCCACCAATTTATTCTACCGAGATGGGGAAAAAAATGGGAAAAGCCGGTAAAGCCGCCCCATTGCCCCGTCTTTGTGGTTTTCCACCCTGGGATCTTGCATGGGGTTCCTGCACCTTTCACGGCACCCAGGAAGGCTTTGAGGTCCTTGTAGAGCTTGTGGCCTTCGCTCTGCAAAGCGATGTGGGGGCTCAGGGTGGCGCCGGGGGGACCTGCGTGTCCCTGTCCCCTCGGGTCTCCCTGTCCCACCTGCTGCTGCTGGAAGTTGTAGGCGCTCTGCTCGAACTGCTCGTCTCTCGTCTCCACCGTTTTGCCCAGTTTCTGCAAAACCTGGCGGAGGAAACAGCTGCTGTGGGTGCCCTGAGTGCACCAGGCCTCTGTGGCCTGGGAAACACCCCCAGGGCTTTGGTTTCAGAGTTTCCACCCACTTTTTTGGGGTAAACAGGGGCAGTTTGGGAGCCGACCAAGTGCAACTCCTTGCCCGTGACCCACTGGCCGCATCCCCACTCTTGGCACCGTGGCGGCCTGTGGGGATGGCAGCGGATGCTGAGGGATGCTGCAATGCATCCAGGCACATTATCCCCAGGAAGCAGCTGGGACGGGGCCGATACAGCCCCAGAAAAGCCCAGTTTGGCTGTGGGGCTGCCTGGCCCCTCCTCGCCAGCCCTTCCGGCACCAGGAGAGGCAGCAAAGTCCCCACACAGCCCCGTTCCCGACCGCTTCCACCCTCTTCTCCCCGCTTCCCACAGCCCAGGTGGGCGGTATGGGCCCTCCGCCGGGGGCAGCTGGTGGCTGGAGCCCGCTTGGGGCCAAAACCCTGCTTTTAGAGACCGCTGTGGGGGCCTTGCAGAARCCTGTGGGCCTGTGGAGAACTGGGCCCATCTTGGGTCTTGGTGCAAAGGCAGAAATGCCCGAGGTGCCCGAGCGGGGCTGCACCGGGCAGGATGCCAGGGAACCCAGCGGGGTGTCCCTAGCCCCTCGCCCCATTTTGCAACCCTCATTTCGCAACCCGCCCCTCTCGCAGCCGCCTTCCCACGGGCGGCACCCGCCTGCCCTGCTCCCCGGCGAGGAAATAAGGGCAACCCCCCCCTCCAAAGGCAGGCGTGGGGGCCGTTACCTTCTCCTGCGCGCGGCTGAAGCGCTTCTGCACCTGCTTGGCAAAGAGCCCCGCGCCGCCGCTCTTGCCCTCGGCCATGGCCGTGTTGGCGCCGCGGGGGCCGCGCGCGCGGCCTCGGCTCGCGGTTTTGCCGTCGCTGCTGCAGGAAGTCGCTGCAAGGCGCCGGGTGCCGCATCCGCCGCGCGCCCCCGTGCCCGGGCCACCCCCCCGGGACAAGCGCCCAGTTCCGGCAGGGCTCCAAGCAGGGATTTTGCTATCGGGGGCGATTCCAGGGCGTTTGGCRGCACCCAAAAGGCTGCAGCCTCCACAGGCTCTGGCCTCTTCCCYGTTCTTTGGAGGTAACCGACTGTTGGAAAATAAAGGGCCAGGGACACRGGGAGTTTCCCCCTTTGCATTCCACAAATGCCCTTTGCAACCGCTGCCCTCGGCGAGGCAGAGGAGGGAGGTGGATGAGGATGTGCTGCAGGCGGGAGAGGCCAGTGCATGGTGCAGCGGGAAGGCTTTGCTCCCATATAGTGCCTACAAAAGCACTGGGCGGACAGGCCCAGCGAGAGAACGCGCGGCGGCACCGTGACACAGGGAAGAGGTTTATTGGCACAAGAGCGGAGGCCAAAGGCTCCCGAGGGACACACGGCAACGCGGTGCCTGGTTCCTGCTGCTTCTCCAGCCCTCTCAGTTTGCAATGACCTGGAGGAGGAGGAGGAAGGCGTGTGTGAGGCTGTGCCAGGGGCTGCCCGGCTGCAGCAGGGCACAAAGGGACATTCTGCAGCCCGGGCAGCTCCCAGGCCCGGCCTTACGCTGTTTATCCAGGAGATGTAAGCGGAGACGCGGGTGAACACGGTGGGTTTGTTGCGCACGTTGCAGCCCGCGCTGGAGACGAAGCTGGTGACGCCGTGGACCTGGTAGACGCCGTTGACGGCGCAGTGCAGGGGGCCGCCCGAGTCGCCCTGCGGGGAGCGGCGCCGTCAGCGGGGAGGCCGCGGCCGCCGGGAGCCCCCGCGGGACGCGCGGGGCCGTACCTGGCAGCCGGCGCGCACGCCGTCGCCGCCGGCGCACACCATGGTGTTCTTCACCGTGGAGCCCCAGTAGCTGGAGCTGGAGCAGGTCTGGTAGCTCACGACGGGCAGGTAGGCCTGCAGCAGGACGCTCGAGAGGGCCCCGTTGGCTGYGGCCCGGAGCGGCGTCAGCGTGGGGACACCCATGGGTGCCGCCGGCGCCCGTCCCACCGACACAAACACCCACGAACGCCCCTTCCCTTCCGAACACCCCCCGAACCTGCTCTGAGCCTCCTAAGCATCCTCAGCGCCGCCCTACACCAGCCTTCCCACCCCTTGCAGGGCTTTAGAAACCATCCGAGAACCTCCCCGAGCTTCCCAGCGAGAGGAAAAGCAGGACCAAAGGCCCCTGGCACCTACTCTGGGTCCGGCCCCAGCCGGAGATGTAGCAGGGGTAGTTGTTGGCCAGGATGGTCCCCTCCTGGGGCAGCACCGCCAGCTTCACRTAGCTGTTGAGGCTGGCCTGGCCGGAGAGCCGGAGCAGCGCGATGTCATAGCTGCCGGAAGAGAAAACCAGGGATTTGGCGAGGATCCTGCTGGAGCAGGAGCCCTGGGGGGTGTTGGCCTCGGAGGGGTGACGTTCCCTTCTCTCCCCCTCCAAATTGAGCCCCGTGGTTACCCTGCAGCCACATTGTTCCTGTTCCAGAAGGGATGGATGACGATCTGGCTGACGCTGAAGACCTGCTCGGTGCCCTCACTCTGGTAGATGTTGTGATCGCCGGCCACCACGCGGAAGTTCAGGTTACTGCAGAGGAAGCGGAGAAGCAGCGGGGGAAGAGCTCCGGCATCATCATCATCACCGGGGAGGAAAGTTAGGAAAGGAAAAATCACTGCAAGAGCAGCGATTTTCTGCTCCTCAGGACAGAAAATCCCAAAGAAGTTCCTTGCAACCCTTCAGCGGAGGGTCAGGAAAGGCCTTGAGCAGCCATTCCCGGCTGGGATTGCCCTTTGGAAAAGGCTGAGGGCTTTTCCACTCTCGGCCAATTCCAGCAAGGGATAAGGGGGCGCGTTCGGTGCCACGGACCTGTCGACGCAGTGGGCGGCCGTCAGCACCCAGTGCTGGCGGATGAGGGAGCCGCCGCAGGTGTGGTACCAGCTGCCGCCGGAGGAGTATTGCAGCGAGATCTGCGGGCGACACGCGCCGTGGGGACGCCGGCYGGCCGGCCGCGCTCGGCCCCGCTCCGGCTTCCCGCACGGAGCGGCCACGGGAGCCGCGCCGCGGGCCCCACCTGCGACGGCCACGCATGCGAGCTCGCTTCGGTGCCGCCGACCACGCGCTGCGCCCCGTCCGGCAGCTGCTCCGAGCAGTGTCCTGCGGGAAAGAGGAGGGAAGAGGGCTCCGTGGGGCTGGGAAAAAGCCTGGAGAAACCTGGACCTGCCCGGCTGGAGCTGCTTGTGTATCCTTAGCAAGCAAGAGCAACCAGAAAGAAGAACAGACGAATAAATTGCAACTAGATTCAGCAACTAAAGAGCACAAGGGCTTAGAAATCAGCTCCAGAAATCATCAAATCCCTCCTCCATCCTGCGGGGAAGCACCAGAGCAGCCCGGCTTCACTCGGGGCTTGCTGCTGCTCACCGCAGAGGACGAAGGTGGCCAGGAGCAGGATCCGCAGCATCGTGCCGGGTCGGGTCACCTCTCCGCTGRTTGCAGGGATCCCGTGGCTGGGGCTGTCTGGGCTTTAAAGGGGATGGGGAAGGCGGGATGGGAAGAAAAGCAGCTGATGCGGCCGGAGCGAGTAGCCTTGGTGGCTCTTCCAAAGCATACACTGCTCYGAAGGCCAGTGGAGAAACGATGTGCCTAAAAAAAGCCACATGGTTAAAAGAGCAAACAGGGTTTTGGCCCCATTTTAAACCATGACATTGTCTGCGGGCAGCGCAGGTTCCCTCTGCCCTCCAGGTGCTGCAGCCCCTTGTGCCAAATCTGCAGCTCTGGGCAGCTCGGAGGGCTTTGGTGAAACAGATTAAGGTAAAGGTGGGAGGAAATGTTTTAATTCCTCCAAAAAAGCCCTGCAGCAAAGTCAATTCTGGAGCCAGGAGCAGGCACCTGGGCAAAATGTGACATTGTGGAGCTTAAGAGAAATACAGACCTTTTTGACCTGGTGTCAGCTCAGAGAAGAAATCCCCCGGTTGCCTTTTCAGCAAGGACTTCTTTTTTTTTTTTTTTTTAAATGAATTTTGCCCCTTTGGCTGGGCTATCCACAGCACTTGGGCTGCTGTCCCCAAGCTCCATCCCATCCCAGGACCCTGCGACACCAGAGATGGTGGCTAGGATGGGTTATCCACTCCCCTGGAAAAAAAACGAGGAAGAAATATTAATCATGGAAAGAAAAACAGCAGCCACTTGGGTACGAGGCACCTGCGGCATTTCTGCTCTTATCTCCTGGAGCGGCTCGAGAGGCGGCCTGGTCACGGGCTTGAACAGCTGCGCTGGGAGCAGCTGCAAAGGGCCCGGGGGACTTCCCAGGGTGACGCAGTCACATTAGGGCGCTCGGAGGAAGAGGCACCCATAGCTGCCAGGGCGCCAACTTCCCCRGGGAAGCAGAGTGCCCTAAATATCCTCATTTTGGCCTCAGAACAGTCTGGATTTGAGGACTGCCTGCCCCAAGCACCTGCTTGTGGTGTTCAGTGCCTCTGTGAAGCATTTTGGGGCACAGCTGGCAGCTTTTCACCCTCCTTCCTTACACTATGATGCCCCAAACCTATGCCAGGGCAGCAGAGAAGCGGCCAAGGAAGCACACGTGGAACAGGGATGTTTGTAAAATAGAGCATCTCTTTATTCCATGTATGCAAAGACAAAGTCTTCCCACTTCCAGGAAGTGTTTTCCTTCCCTCCCACCCCCACAAAAACCCTAAACAAAATAGATAGGAGAGAAAGGGGAGGGGGGGAAGACTTGCAAACAAAAYAGTGTAAACTACAGTAGTCAGGTTTAAACAAATAGAGAGAAAGGAGAGGAGGTTTCACAGTCAGGCTCCTCAAGGCCCTGGAAGACACTGTGGTGGCTGCCAGTCCTGGCCAAGGCAAGAGCCAGAACGTGAGTGCTGACTCTGGTGCTCTCACAGATGGCCCAAATTTGGGTCATGGGGACTGGCAGGTCCCCTCGTACCGGCCCCTGAGCAGCGCTCAATGTCTTTTAAATCAATACAAGGACAAACAGAACCCCATCAAAAGAAAAACGATTAAAAAAGTAATCAAGCTGCTCCAAAACCAAGCCTGAAATCCGAGGCAGCCGGGCTCAGGGCAGCCCTAGCCCCTTTCCCTTCCTGGAAAGGAGGAGCTTGCAGGGCTACAGCTGGGATGAGCTGCGTCCCGGCTCGTCACTGTCCTTGGAGTCGTCCTGCACCTCCTGGTGCTTCCTGGACGCGGCGACTTCGGCCCTTTTCCCGCTGTGGCGGCGCTGCCGTTGGCACTGGCTGCTCATGGGCCTGGCCCATGCAAGGGCCAAGTCAAACGCTGATTCACTGCTTGTGCTGGGCCAGGCTTGCAGCCGGTCCCTCTGTATGCAGCGCAAACAGCTCGTGCTCCCCATCCTGCTGGCAGGAGGTTCCTGGGCGAGTTTCACATGCAGGGCAGCAGTGACATCGTGGGGCGGCACGACTGGATTTTAAAAAACACAGAGCTGCTTTCTATGGAGTTTGCCAAGCAGGTAKTGGTAGGGAAGGACAAGCAGCTGGCTGTTTCCAGTCAGTGCWGCTGTCTTCTTTTCAGGCTCCTCAGGTAATTGCTGGTCAAAATCTGTTCCCTRGGTTGCAATGAGGTCAAGCAACTAGGGCCACTTGTCCCCGAGTTGCTCTGGCACAGCCAGGTCCAGGCACTTGGGCTTTGGATGAGTTCTAGATGTGACACTTGGCTGCAAGTGGGAGTTTTTTTCCCCCCTTTTTGTTCCCTTTTTTCCTCTTGCTTTGCTTCAGAAAAAGAGTGAGACCACAAAATAATCTTCTCTGCATATTCCAGCATTTGATCCCTCAAAAGGCACAGGACTGAATTCAAGACAAATGTGAACTGCAGCATATTTAAGGCTTTTGCTTCTTTTAAATTAAAGAGGAAGAAAAAAAAACCCTGAAGAAGGGAGAAAGTTTTGGATTTTGGATTCTGGTTTCCTGAGTGCAGTTTGGGATCGCCAGGGCTCGCTGCCTCTGCTGCTAGGTAAAGAACCACTGCTGATGGGAATCGAGCGCGTTGCAGGGAGCCATCAGCGGGTGCTTCCCCCTCGCTGACAAGCACATGTTGGAGGCCGTGTTTTTAATCAGACGGTCCTAGCAAAAGATAAAGACAGCACTCAGCTTGCACCTCTGTGAGACTGGGTGCACCCAGTTTTGCATGAAGACTTAAACGCCGGGGAAAACGCAAAGAGCAGAGAAGGGTCCCTGGCTCCTTTCCCCGCTTTCTTGGAGACTCTCCTGCATAGAAATTCCCTCCAAGGCGTCACGGCAGGAGAGGTCCGGCTGTGGGTGCTGGCTCTGCCCTCCTTACCTGCGTCAGGTCCCACTCCTCGTTCGGGGGCACCCGTGTGTTCTTCCCTTTGTATTGGCAGTCGCCCAGCTCCACGGGCCCGAAGGCAGAGCGCAGGCAGAGCTGCTTGCCGATGTTGTGCCGTAGGTCCCTCTGGGTCGTGTACTCGAAATACTGCAAAGGGAGAGTGGAGAGCGGGTGTCGCACTGATGCCACCCCAAGCATGTGGCCAGCCTGGCTGCAGCCCTGAATTTCCRTGCCCCAGTAAAAAATTTGGGAAAAAAACACAAGGAATTTGCAAGGGGAAGTAAAACTGATGCAAACTGCCAGAGAGAAAAGTGCTGTTCAAGTTCTGACCAGCAACATGCGGTGCCTACCTGGTTGCCTCCCATCCCATGGCACGGGTACATGATGAGCGGTTTCCCACCGTGGTTGTTTTCCCCGACATCCAGGCAGCTCTTTGTTCCCTCGTTTTTTATCTGTGGGGAAGAATCGGGAGCAGAGAACTCAGGTCTAGGGTCCCTTTTGCTCAGGCCTCGTCATCTGCTTGGGCGGGGACCAGAGTTGGGTGCTAGGTTCACAGGACACCTGAATATCACTGTACAAACACGTTCCTTGTACTAAGCCCTGGGTCCGGGTCTCTCACCGTTTCCAGGATGTGAACAACGCCTCTGCCAGCACCTCCGCGTCACACCAGCTGCCTTCCTACAATCAACTGCTCGTGCAATTTATTTAAGCCTAAAGTTGAGCTGCTTGACGAAGTTTTGTGAAGCAGAGCTGCATTAAGAGCTGGAGTGGAGCCAGCATGTGGCTTCACTGAAAAAGTCTAAATGCATTTTGCATCTCTGCAAACTGGTTTCACAACATTGTCACAGCAGAGAAGGGCTGTGCGTGCACAGATTGGCTGTTGCAGGGTCAAGGGAAGGGCTCTCTGCTGTAGCTCCCTCCTCCGCAGGCTGCCGAGGAGCACAGACAAGCGGGGACAGAGCCGACGCTCCGTATCCACGGTGGCCGGGCTGGCGCTGGGAGCTGCTCGCCCGGTGCTCGGAGAGCTGGGGTCCAAACCCATCCTCCTCATCCCAGCTCTGCACATGATCTTGGGCAAATCGCTGCCCTCTGCAGCTTACAGAGCTATGCAGGAGTTGAAGATGCATGGAAGCAAATGCCAACTATCCCCGGATCATCCAGCTCATCCCCCTCTGCTTGGCCCTCCAGTACAAGAAAATTCCACCTAGTAGATTTAAGTCCCATCTTGTGCAGGGTGATGTCCAGAGCTGATGGCATGAAGGCTCCCCAAACTCCCCCTGAGGTTTTGCTTGTTTTGCRAATTTTAGCCTACCTAGTGTGACATCCCCTTAGGGCCCCTGTAACTTGCCCCAAACCAGCTCTGCCGGATTCCGGCGCTCAGCCTTGCCTTGTGCTGTCAGACAGAGCCCCAAAGAACCTCATCAGCTGGTGAAAGATGCTGCTCACCAGCACCTCAGGTGAACTGGAAAGACAGGATCTCTGCCAGCGCACTCCTCTTTGCTGGTTGAAGGCCAAAAGCAAAGCCCCGTCTCCTGGGGACCTCTCTGCCAAGGCTTATTTCTAGAGCAGGACCGAGCCTAAGGGGCTGGCAGAGCAAGCTGTGATCTCCCACATACTTACTGCTCCATAAAATGTTGGAGCCAAGTCAGGGATGAACATCTCTGGATAGATGGTTTCTAGGTACCAGGTGAAGTTCTTGCAGTGTAGCCGCTCCCTCAGCCTGCGCCGTTCTGTAATGTCACCATACGTTTTCTATCAACAAAGTCACGTGAGAAAATTAAACTAATCTCCAAAGCTAGCAAGAAAACCCAGAGTTAGGGCTCAGCAAACAGCCCCTCCCAGCTTGGTCATCTASCTCCCTGTTAAAAATCAAGCTCATGTCTTACTATAGCTAGGACCAAGGCAGATATTAAGAGTCTTGCAAGACAATACCTGGCCCATGCAAGTAACCTCAGACTCTAYCGCTTAGAAAGCTGAAACATTATTATGTTACCCAAGTAAATCCATATCCCCTCAAAGTGCTCAGATGTTGTGAGAAATCTATATTTCCCTACCAGAAAATGTTTAGGCAACGTTTAGATATACATATACACATGTGAATATTTAGCAGTATCTTCCACCTGCACTCGCCATCCCCCTGCAGTGTAAACCTGCTGAGCCTTCCTGTTTTTCCTTCCACTCAGGATCTAAGCTCCCTGCAGGATGGCAGCCTTTGGGACAGGATCCCAAGGTGCCACGTGTTGCGGAGCACCTCCTGGTGCTCCCCTCCACCAAGGAAACGCTGCTGATACTCTAGAGAAGGGCGAGGTACCTCTCTGGCCATCTGCGASGCCTGCTGGTTTCTTCTGTAGAAAATCTCCTTGTAGTCGTCCATCCAGACCTCGGCCAAGCGAACCTGGTTCCTGGAAATCACCTGCGTCCCCTTGGGGAAGGTGTGGGGGCTCTTGGAGCGGAAGACGTGTCCGACCACGGAGCAGGGGATGATCTCGAGTTGGCCGCCACACTGCCAGACCTGCAGGGAGCCRAGGACCTGGCGCCTGAGCCGGGGAAGGGCCTCCCCTGCCACGGCGGYGCTTCCACACCTCGGCACGGAAGGATTTTGCACATGGAATTTTGGTTCCATTGATCCCACCTGGAGCTTGGGGACCTCAGCACCCCTTTACATACACCCAGAGCTCCCAAATAAGGGATTTTTCTGAAGTTTTTTTTAAATGAAACGTCGTTCTTACCCTGAAGGACATTTCCACATTCTCTCCTCCCCAGATCTCCATCTGATCGTCGTAAGAGCCAATATACTCAAAGTAGGACCTGGAAATTGCGAAGAGCCCACCGGCGAAGGTTGGCGACCTAGGAAGAGGCGGAAGCAGAGTCTAAAGAGGATGCCAGGAGCTCTGCAAATTCTATGGAGCAGCCAGATCCTCCATTTCCAAAACAGGCAGCCCTGCTGCCCTAGGCCTYGTTGAAAAGGATGCTGTGAGGACAGAGCTGCTCGGAAGACACTGAATGTGGCCACGAGAGGACAGAGAAGTCAAAGAAATCTATGGCAGGCACCAAGCTGCCAAGAGGCCTCCTGGCTGCTCCTCATTTGGGAGAGCGAAACTTGGATATTATTACTGAAAAGCTATAGCAGAAGAGAAAGGCAGAGATTAGCTCAGTGACTGGGCACCCTATTCACTCCTCTTGCTTTTATAATCTGTTCCATCTGATCTTKGGAAGAGGAAGGTTGGAACAGAAACTTGCTTTTATTCAAGGAAAAGAAAAAAGGACTCACTGAGCTGCTGTGTTCCTGCCGAGAGAGATTAGATGCTGTTTGGAGCCAAACTAGCAGCCTTTGGCAAAAAAGGGATCTTTATTGGGACAGAAACATCTCCCGTCTGACCTTTCCACAAAGGAGAGCTGTGCTCCAGGCCAAGGGACAGGATGCAGAAAGGGCCAAACACCATGCCGAGTTTCTCCCTTTGGGAACAACGAGGYTGTTTGGTTTATCAAGGGGCAATGGTCACCCACAGCAGCCGCTCGGAAAGGCAGAGGGGAAAAGCCTCTTCTCCCGAGTACCAGGAGGAAGGTGCCAAGGCAGAGAGGCAGCTTACACAGAGCTTCTCCAAACTACCTCCTGGTATGTGCCAGCTGCTGCCAGCCTGCCACAAGGCACCGTGCTTTCGATGCAATGTCTTAGTGGAAGCACTAGGCTCTTGGTTGCTGCTGTCAGCAGGGACATGCCCTGGAAAAGGCTCTAACATCTCTTCCAGCCTCCCACTTACCTGCAGTGCCTCGCTTCCTAGCCCTGTGAACCAAGACACAGATCCAGGGGGCCTTTTTGGTCTCTGGAAGGGGAACGAAGTCATCCTGCCCCTTCCCCAGAGGGGAGAAAAAACAATTTAAACAATTGCACCATGAATGAACAGAGACCCAACTGGAGGATAAACCAACCCCTGGAGTTTTGTTTGCTGGGCTGCTTCGACTCCCACCCCATTCCCCCATACTCCTGCTGCTGCGGGGAGCAGRAGGACTGGGGCAAAGGAGCAAGGACAGTATTTGAGTGACAGGAACTGGCCTCTCCACTTGCCAACCTGCAGCGTAGCTGCCCGTAAGCATCCCCAGCACCCTGAGGAAGACTTCGCTGTGACTCTCCTTCCTTATAGCCCTTCTGCAAGGAAAAAACTCTTCAAAGGGACAAGGTAAAGCCAGCTGAGAACCACAATCCTCTTGCCCACTGGAGACCGCAAGCRATTTGATGCATTTGCCCTCCTTGCTGGTGTAACTGCACGCACGCTGGCCTCGTGCCAGTGGCTGCATCCCTCTCCGCATGTCCRGCATGGTCGGTCTGCAGGATCCTGCCGGAGCGAAGACCCAACAGGCTAAGCCTAGGCAAGGAGCACRAATTCCCAAGTAGCGCAAATTCCTGCCCCAGAGAGCAGCCTCTCCCACAGTTGCCGGGCAAGCTCAGTCAAGGAGCTGCAGCCYCCAGCCCCACAGATGAGGCCTGGTCACAGCCCAGTAGCCCCCTGCGCATGCCGTGCACTCCAATCCCATCCTTCTGGAATCCAGCAGCCAAGGCAAGACCCCGATGAACAGCCCACAGCAGCAGGAGGCAGCAGTTAAGGAAGAGACCATGCTCCACCAGTGCTCCTGCAGCTCAAGCCTTAGCAGGGACGTTCCCTCTCTTCAGGAAGGRTCTATGTACGTTCTAGGCTTTTCTCCATGCAGAACAGAGGCAGCAGAAGGTCCTTCTGTGCAGTCTGCCCTGCAGGCAACATCCTTTTCCTGCTTTGCCATCTCAAGCACCTACCCAGGGCCCAGGTGACTAAGCTTCCCAGATGAAGTGCAAAAGGGATAAGGCAGCAATTAAACCCTTCACAAGAGACTGCAAGAATGAAGATCTGTCTGGAGCCCAAGGTGATTAAGGGCTCCATTTAGAAAAGAGGAATGTTTCTGCTCTGCATTCACTATCCCTAAACAGATGTTTCTCCTCTGCCAGCCCCTCACTCTGACCTTGTTTGAGCATCTCCTCCCAGGCACCTTGCAGGGCACTTGCAGGGCAAGAGGAAGTTCTTTGAGGTCTTCTAACCCAAGTGTCCCTTGGGCAAAGCTCTCCTGGAAAGGGAGCTTTGGAAAAGGAGCAAAAATGGCTTAAAGTTGGCCCAGGAGCTCAATGAGCATCTGCTAACAGTATTGGCAGCTGCCAACAGGACACTAGGGCTCTTCGCTCTCGTGATGATGCGGACATTGTGCCAAAGAGGACACTGGTACTGCCTCAAACACTTACTTGATGGGGAAGGTCTCATCCTTCCTCCGCTGCTTCTCCCGGAGTGGGATGGCTTCCCAGCCAAATGTCAGGCTCCAGTCAAAGTTGCCCCGGCTGTGCTGCTTGCCGTACTGGACGGGCCTGGAGAACTCGAAGGTGTTGAGGTCGATGGTGGTGATGTCGGGGCTCACAACTGCCGTGGGCTCCTCCGCGATGCGGGACAGCAGGGGCTCCAGCCAGCCGTGGAAGCACTCGCCTGCAGGGATGGGGAAGGAGACACCAGGGTTGTACACGCAGCACTCGCCAGTACGACCCAAGCTCTCCCGTGCTGGGAGGTCACTTGGGAAGCCTGGGGCAGCTCTGTGGGTTGTCTCACGCCTGTGAGCACTCTGCCACGTGCAGGGGAAGGTCTCTGGCTGCTGCCTGCATGTTCCTGAACCCCAAGGGCCAAGATCTCATCCCACCTCCCCCGTGACACTGCGAGCTGCGTGTGGGAGGGCAGCACTCACAGTGCGCGTCCAGGAAGGTGAGCACCTCTCCGCTCGCCACGCTGGCCCCGAGCAGCCGCGCCGTGATCAGCCCTTTCCTCTCCTTCTGCCGCACGACCCTCACGATCTGCAGCTGCTTCACGTAGCGATCCAGCTCATCCTTCAAGTAGTCTGGAGACAACACAGGGAAGAGGGTTCAGGGAAGGGAGAGGAGAAACAGGAGCAGGACRAAGCCCTGAATCACCCGTTTCCTCCATCCTCCTCATGCACTGGGCTCTGCAGTGACACACAGGAAAGGAAGGGGAATGGAAGAGCAAAGCCCCCCCAGCTCCGATGGACAGAAACGTTCCCTCACTGTATCTGCTGGTTATATCATTCCTGGCTTATATATATTGCACAGGGCATATTTCCACTTCTATAACCTTTTAAATAAACYATAGGGGAACCCCACACCAGGTCCTCCAAGCAGCCTCCCCTTGCAGAGAGGAAGTGGTGTTGGCAGAGCGATGATAAACCCTCAGAAACACCGAAATTACCGGGATTAACCAGCTTGCTCTGTAAAGCTAAGAATCAAGGCACTTCCCCAGGCCTGCTGGCTCTCCCCCCGGCTGCACATCTGGCCTGGGCAGAGCCTCCCATTCCCCACACATGAAAGAGGTTTTTAATTACTAAAAGAGAGCGGGGCTTGGAAACAACCCCATGGAGCTTTTTGGTGGCTCTAATCCCTCCCACCCGCTCCGCATCAAAGAGAGATTAGCCGGGATTAGAGGAAGGACTGGGTGAAAAAGCCTCTTGACCTGTGGTTAAAACTTCACCAACCAAGGAGACAAGGGGTCACCAAAGGAGAGATAAGGCAGATTTCAGACCTGACAGCACAGAGAAGGGGGAATCAGAGCACCCCTCCTCTCTTTCAGATGCTCCTAAACCAAAAGCCAGGGAGGGGAAAGGCCAAAACAAAGGGGAACAGGCTGAAAAATCCAGAAACCATGTGCTGTAGAATCGCATCTCACTCAGAGACCTGAAGTCTTGCCCATTTCCAGCAAACACCACAAGAAGCAGCTTTCCCGCAGCAGCAGGAGCGATGCTTGCAGGAGGACAAGGGACAAATCCCTGCTATTGTGCCCAGCCCAGGGAATCAGTCAAACCCCGGTGCTGCTGGCTCCATAGCTGCCAACCAGATTCCCTCCTGTCTACCAAGATCCAAGGAACTGGCAGCTTTTCAAACATCTTTCTCCAAAAGCTGCTCCAGCATCTATCCAAGAAGATGCTCCTGCTGTTCCTGCGCTGGGGGGTTATTGGGACCTCTCTGCCTGTTTTTGGCACACACAGAGGAACTGCCTACCTGTCARGCCACAACCTGCTGGCCAAGAGCATCCTGGAATGGCAAGACGGATGCAGAGAGTCTGGCTGCATGCAGCTCTGCACTGCGTCCTTAGAGAGGATGGCTTGYGCTTTAATGAAAGCAAGGAGATACTCTATAGAAGAGTATCCTTCCACGTGTGGAAGGACCAAATTGCCTTTCCTGGGGTACCCGGCTCCAAGGGACACCTCAGCTTCCAAGCACATCTGTGCCAAGCGGGCACAGAGCCGACAGGGATAGAGGCTCCCTCCCTTTGAGGCCAAGAGGCAGTGGCTGCCAGGGCCGCCCTCCTGCTCCATCCCTCATTCACATTCTGCTCTCTGCCTCATTTCTGCTCCGGTAGGTTGGCTGCAGCTGGAAACCTCTCCCCGTGCAGCCCCTCGCACCGTAACCGCTGCCACCAGCCTGTGCACACAGCGAAGCAAGGCTAGCAGAGCCAGCACTTGACCATGGTTTGGGAACCTATTTAAAGAAAGAAAGAAAAGCAGCAGAGTGCATTCAGCATGAGAATAATGCGAGACAACCCCCCGGCAGCCGGGGGACGGAGGGGCCATCCCTCCTCCCCTCATCAGCCGCCACAAAGCGGCAACACAATAAGGGTCGCTGAACCGCCGCGGAGCTGCCCGGTGTCACAGCAAAGCCACACACGGGGGACGTGTTTGCAGGGGCYGAGGCGGCTGGGCTCTTTCAGAAGGGCTCCTTGTTAAGGGGGGAAAAATAGGATCTGCTTCGTGCAAAAAGCAAGGGGGAGCATTCAGTGCAGGAGCTCAGCTCAGTGCAGCTCTGCCCTGGGAAAAGACTGGGGACTTCTTGGCCCACAACAGTGGGTTGCAGGGGGCCCAACCCAAAGGACATCCATCTGCCACCATCTGAGGACAAATATTYCCCTCTCGCACACATGAAAGTTTTTGCATCTCCCAGACCTCTGCTGCTGGAGGGTGTAGGGATAGAGCGAGAGTAAAGATGACYGTCTCCAACACCCTGCTCCAGGCAGCCCTGACAACGAACCATGTCATTAGCTTAGCCTCGCTGGAACTAATTTGGGTGGCCAAATTGCAGTGGAGCGGAGAAGCGAGTCATTTACAGAGGTGGAGAGTCTGGGTGCTGTTTACAACATGCATGAGGGGGGCCCGGTGTGTGAACTCACTCAGGAGCCACGTTCGAAATAACATGGAAAGAAACAAAACCCAGGACGTGCTCCCACAACTCCAGGTAGCTGATTAGGAAGGGCCATCGCAGGCACGGGGGTCACCCTGAGCCAGCCGTGCTCACCGTCGGTGCTGGCGTCGTCCACGAGGATGATCTCGCGGAGCAGTACGGCGGGCGAGGCGTGCAGGACGCTGTAGACTGTGCGCAACAGCGTGGACCAGGCCTCGTTGTGGAAGACGATGACCACACTGGTGGTGGGCAGCGGAGGGCAGCGCTTGAACTTCTGGTCGATGCACCTGACAAAGGCGAGAAAAGGCCGACTCTAAGCAAAGCGTGGGCCTGGATGGGGCATAAACCTCCAGCCAGAGCTCGTGCCAGGACCCAGATCCCCGCTGGTGCCTGAGATGTGCTGGACTGGGCTGATTYCCCCTGAGCCAGGCAGCTTTATGAACCGGGAAGAGTCACACGTCCAGACCCACATCTGCCCCAGGGGCCCGTGGTACTGGGCCTGACTGGCAAGACTGAGCCCGGTCCACCACGCCAGAGCCGAGACCGGTGCCAGGGCGCAAAGGAGGCTATCCAGGCCCAGCCTCCCCCTGGCCTCCCCATGGCTGCTGCCTCCTGGCGCACATCAAAAGGGGCAGCGTTCCGCACGGCGGCCGCACAATCGCCGCCCTCCCGCCGCCGCTTTGGGYGCTTTCATTTACACTGGTTTATACCTCTGCCCCCACCTCGGCCCACTGAATAACATTCCTGCCCCTGCCTCGCTTCCCAGCCCCGGTGTCCCTCCTTTGTCACAGCTACACCTGCTAGGCACGGATAATTGCCTGGCGGCACGGGGGGCACGGGCCGCGATGCGGGGCCGCCTTCCCAGCTCCTATTCAAGCCTTTTTTCTCTCGCCAGGAGCCTCCTCCAAAGCCTCCCAGCCTGACAGGGGTTGGGGCCACGCTCTAATCCTGCAGCCCCTCACCGGAGGCCATGGGGAAGGGATGAAGTCTCTCAAGTTTAGGCTGCTTCCTTCCCCCCACGCCGCTTACCCTAGTCTCAAGCTGTTCCACTCGGCTAAGAAAATAAAAAGTAAGATTATGGCAGAGGGGCTGGAATAAAAGATGGAGGGAAGCAGGGGGGCTGCCCGGATGCCGCAGCAGCGGGGCCTGCAGCAGGTCAGCATGGACATGCAGAGCCCTCGCACAGTTCAGCGTGCTGCGATTCCAACTGAGCCCTTGGCACCAAGGAGGTGGAAAAGGGAGTGTGAAAGCCAGGGGGAAGGAAAGGCGGAAAACCAGCTCTTGCCCCGTGTGTTCCCAGTGCCAGATGGGGGGTGGACAGAGCTCCCAGGCCAGCKATTCCTTCCCACAGCTCGGGCACCACCAAGGCAACTCTCCTGCCGCTCATCCCCATGGCACCCGGGTGAACAACAGGAGCATTTTTCTCTTCTCCGTAAGTTTCAGTCCTGTGGCCCCCTCCTCGGGCTGCCCCGCGAGCCCTCTGTGCCTCGTGTGCAAGGCCACAAGAGATGCGTCATTCGTGGTCTGCCCGGACACGGGCGATAACATGCCGAGCACAACGGCCRCCAAGCTGCAGAGCTGGCGAGGGCTGAATTTCCCCCACGCTGCTCTTAAAGCGGGGGGGAAAAACCCAGCCCGGGCCGCGAGCCGAGCAGGGGCCCTGCAGCTGCGCTGGGCGGCTCCCATCGCCCAATGCCTCAGGCCCTGTTTTCACCTATTCCTCAACACGACCCCAGGGGAGCAAACCCTGAACATGAGCACCCTCCCCAGCTGCCAGCGAGGCCCAGCCCACGCCCGTCCCCTACCCACAAACRGGCACAACGGTCATTTGGGAGGCGGCTCTTACTCGGGCGGGCGGCTGTCGGGGCCCAGGGCTCGCTGCAGGGAGATGCGGTCGCTGGCGAAGGCGTTGAAGCAGTGCTTCTCGTAGCCGCGCTCCTTCTCCTTGCTCTCCTCCGGGCTCCACTGCTCCTTCTTGAAGGCTTTGCCGTCGGCCCCGGGGCTGTTGGGGTCCTGGGGTGGCCGCTCCATGAGCGGCCTCAGCTCCGCGGCCGTGTAGTAGCCGGGCAGGCAGGACTTGGTGCTCTGCGAAGGAGCCTCTTGCTGAACCGGAGCCCGGATCTGAAGCTTCGGCATTGAGTCTCGAATGTTGTTCACTGCCCCCATCATCAGATCGATGACTTGGTCCTTCCCGTTGACAATGTTTTTGAGCCAGGGCTCCTCACTGGAGTCTCTGCTCCCGACGTCCTTCTGCATGATGAAGAGGCAGATGACAAAAACGACACCCACCAGGGCCACCTTCAGCGGGCTGTAGCGTCTCCGCAGCAGCTTCATGTTGGGCATCACTTTTGGAGCCCTCCCGAGGTCAGGGCAACACACAGCTCAGGGCCGTGGGATGTCACAGCTTGTCACGGTCATCTCCTCTGCCTTCCTCACCTGCGGAGGAAGAAAACACATACAAGGTTAATTCATTAACAGGCTACGCAGAGAACAGAACCACCAGGACTTATTTGGGTACAAGACAGAGATTTCACTCCATGCACAGGAATGAACAGGAGCCTGTCAGTCTGGTCACACTTCCCTCCCCAAAAGCTGCCATATGGGCAGACCACGAGCTCCAGACCACAGGGTTGTCCTGCGGACCCCTCCTAAGCAGCACTGCCCTCTCACAGCCTATCAGACCGATGAGCGCGCACAGAAAAGAGAAGAAACTCCCCGAAGCCAGCACGGTCTGAAGCTGGGGGACGGCCTGGCGCTGCAGAGCAGAGCAAGTTGTCTTCAGCACTTTCATGTCCAGTCCTGCAACCGAAACACCCGCTACAATCCACCCCGCCCCTAAACTACGTGCGCATAATGAAACCAGGGAGAAAAAAAAAAAGCTGCAAGTTTTACTGAGATAGTTGTAGATGTGCAGAAAGAGCTCCCTCCTCGCAGGGCACCCAGCGGAAGCAAATCACATTGAGCTCGGCATTCGCCTCACCCCGGGTTCAACGTCCCCRCGCAGCTGCGCGCTCGGCCTCATCCCTCCACCTGAGCAGCAGGACAACGTAGCAGGAAGCTCCCGGGCAGCCTCTGCTGGGAGGAGCGGCGGAGCGGGGCACCCGTGCCTGCCCCGGCACCCTGCCCGCCCCAGCGCCCTGCCTCCGGGGGCGGCTTTGCGGGGGGAGCAGGGGACACGCCGCTCAGCCGACTGCTGCGCTCTTTGTGCGCTGCTCTCGCCGGACGAGCCCCGCGGAGTCACTCGGCAGCATTCCCACCTCCTCCCCGTCCCCTTGGCCATCTCCCCCTCCCTTCTTCCTTTCTTTCCTTCGCGCTGGGAATCGTGCTATTGCTAAAGGGCACCTGCCATGAAGTTAACCAGCGAGCAGCCTCTAGCCCACCTACGGGGCTCGCTTTTGTAGYGCCTTTGGCCTTTGCAGCAGCGGCCGGCGAAACAGGACCGGGTGCAGGAGGGAAATTCCCCGCCACCGTCCCCACATCCCTCCCGTTGCCTCCTACCTGCCACGTCGCTGTCAGGGCGAGCACGGCAAAGGTAACGATGGGCTTGGCGCTTGCGTAGCGCTAATATGCCCCGCCGCAGCGCCAGGGTGTGTGAGGAGGAGGGGGAGGAAGGGGCGAAGGGCGTTGAGKTAGAGCAGTAAAGTGGTTTTGGTCTCAAAAATCAAAGTTGTTTAAGAGGGAACAATGGTGCTGCAAGCGGCCAGGCAAAGCCCGGCAAGCTCCTCACGCCGGGCAAGAGGGCTTTAAAGCCAGAGTGGGGCTTGGCATGGTACAAACAGCCGATCTATTAGGCCGGTGCAAAGCGTAGCAGAAAGAAAGGAGCATTAAAAGGATCCCGTGGCGCCCGCGCCCCCCAAGGGCCAGCGCAGAGCCCAGCAACGCGGGCGCTCGGTGCCGACAGCGGCACAGCCGAATCCCTGCGGCCACCGCTCCCGGGCTGCTGTTACGGAGCCCTCTCCCGAGGGCTCCCGAGATCGCTACACTTCCCATCTGAAGAAATCCACACCGGCTCCTGCTTCCCAACACTTCCCAACGGTGTCACCGGTTGCTTTAAGCCTTCCAACTGCTCCATCTTCCCCAAGCACTTTTCTCTCCTCAATTAAGCAGTAGCCACCTTTCTCTTAAAGCCCTGAGGGCAGCTTTTCCAAACGCGCTTAAAAACGCCACCTTTAACAATCAAAGTCTCACAGAGCCAAAGCCATTGGTGCTGCCCAACATCCCAAGCGGGAGCAGAAGCCCTCCTGAAAACTCCTCTGCTGTAACCCCCAGGCTGCGTTTTTAAGGGAGTTTTGGGGCTTTAAAGGGGTCCTCGCCTGGTGCTACCTCAAGTCATCTCGGCAGCCCCTGCCAGACAGGGCACGAGGAGCAGCGAGCAGACCCGCAGCGCTGGCACTCGGTCACAATAAGAAGGAAATCGCGCTCCACTCGTTCCCAGAAGAAACTCGCCTGAGCAGCGGCCAAAGGCGAGCTGCAAACACGGGCGCTTGGGCAATTTACAAGAACAAAAAGGACCATGGTGAGCAAGCGGGCAGGCATCTCAGCCCCACAAGAAAGGCCTYGCCGGTGAGGACAGCGGGCTCCCTGAAATAAAATTACACCTTGGGCGCTCCCACGGGAGCTGAGTCAGAGCCCCAGCGCCCGCCAGGGCGGGTTCTGCACCCAGAGGTTTGGCGAGCGGCTCCGCGGCGCGTTCAGCGTTCACCCGCTTCGCCTCAGTGCCGCCGAGCGCCCGGTGGAAGCGATGAACCAAGGGTGCCCGCAGCGAGCGGGCCTGGAACAGGCACCCGCTTCCTCCTGCCCGTCCCGGGGGACATCTGGATCCGGCACTGCGTCCCAGCGTTACCTCCGGGAGCTGCCACCGTCGGAGAGGGTCCCAGGCAGGCAGCGCGGCGCCCRTTGCGCCCGGTCCCCACGTGACGGCGGCCCGCGGACACGTGCGGCAGGCAGCACTTCCTCCGTGAGGCCGCAGGGACGGGCAGCGGCGGCTCCTCCGGGACCCCCGGCTCACCGGGACGGCTCTGGTCCCGCGGGGAGCGGAAAGGAGGGAAAACGGGAGGAGAAGGAGGAAAAAGAAAATAAAAAGAAAAAAATAAGGAAGCCACGGATCAGCAGGAGTAAGCAAAGCGCAAGGAAAGCGGCGCGGTTCTTCCTGCCGTCGCTGAACCAAGGCAGGGGCAGCCGCTGCCTGGGGGTGCTGGGCTCCCCAAATCCCGCTCCGCCAGGCAGGAGCGCGGGTCACCCCGCAGCCAAATCCGCGCGGATTCGCCCCGTTTCAGCGCGGGGAAGGCAGCGCAGCGGGGCCTCCCCAACCCGCAGCCGGTCGCACCGTGTCACTTCGTTCCGCACGGGCTCGAGCCCCGCCGAGGACTCACCCGCGGCCACCGCTGCGACGACGGCGCCCGGCCTCAGCGACGCGCGGGCTGCCGGACGCGCGGGCTGCCGTTCCCGCGGGCTGCCGTTCCCGCGGGCTGCCGCCGCGTCCCGGCCCGCCCGCTTCCCCCGCCAGGTGACCGCGAAACGGCAAGGCGGCGGCGGCGGC